TCCACCGCAAGCGCCTCGCGGACGCGCAAACGCGCCAGAAGGCCTTCGAAAAGGAGGAGCTGCGGCGGAATGCCGCGCGGGAATACCGCCAGCCGCGCGGGTGCGAGCGGGGAAACGACCTCGACGGAAGCCGCGATCACGCGACCTCGCCGATTCGTGGGGCGAAGGCCAGGGAGGCGAAATGCGCGATCGTCGAGCACCCAACTTCCCTGGGATACAGCGAAACGCACCGTCAGCGCGCACGGCACTCCGCCCGGATCGCCGAGGAGGAATTCGAGAAGACCTTCGTCCGGGGCTCCGTCGCGGTGGCGCGGGATTTGGGCCTGCCACCAACCCAGCACGTCCGATCCATCGAGGACCTCCTGCGGCCCGTCGAGATTGAAAATTACCTCCTTTATCCGGGGAAAGCCTCGGGGAAGGCGATTTTGTCCGCGGAGCCGGCGATGGTGATCCCGACGCATAGCTTCCATACCCACCCCATCTATACTAAAGAGTCTGGGAGGGCTGAGGTTTGCGAGGCGCCTATAATCGAGAGCGTCGCCGTACTCGAAGAGGATGAAAAGACTTCGAAAGAAAGAGATGACGCCATCGATGACGTCGAAGTCTGGGATGGCGTGTTGACGGAGGAGGCGGGGATTGCCGAAATCAATCCTACACTGCAGAGGGAATCCATTGAGGAGAAGGAGCATGTCGAGATTACAATGGAATCCCCAAGCGAGCAGAGTTCACACTCGATCAGCCCTGGGAACGACGCGACGCCGTCAAAAGACTCGGAAAGGCATGAATTCGTCGCCGAACAGGTCGAGGAAGTGCAAAAAACGCCGATAGAGGTCTCTCGCCTTACGGAAGCGACTTCTGTCAGTCTTAGCAGCGCTTCCTCATTTTCCCCTTCCTTTTCCTCGTCGCCGGAGAGAAGATCCTTGTCGAGATCGAGCACTGGGGTCTCTTCAAAGACATTTTCAACTAGGAGCACAACGTTACCACACAGTAGTTCGGAGTTAACTTCGTCCAGAGGCAATAGCTTTAATCGCACACGCGTGTATCCGAGAATGACGGCAGAACAGCTAAAAATCGCCCTCATCCGCCTGCGCAGTCGTATTAAAACAATTCAGTTGTAGATTGGGGGGGGGTTCGGTGAAACGGGGTTTTACCCCTTAAATTGGGTTAGATTTTTTTTGTGCAATAGAAGACATCTACTTGTCCTTATATATTCGAACAATTATATTATAGATGCATCTCTTCACTATGTTTGATAGAAATGGAAATTGATGAAAAAAATAAAAACCATATTTTCAGAGCTCAAATAAAAATTTATTGTCACAATAATTGCTTAAATTATCCCTTTTTCTCAAATAGAATGATTCTAAATACTTATTCAGATCAAAAACACTCAATTGGTGCCTGATATGATACTTTGTTGTTGTTTTTTTGGCTTTTCTTTTTCTGATAAGTATTTTCTCTCTCTCTCT